CGGCCGGCCTGGACCGCACAGGTAGCTCCACAGCCCAGCTGTGGCCTCGGGCACTCCGCGTGAAGGAGCCGGCTCCCCGCCTGGCTGTGAACCTCCCGAGGGCACAGCTCTGCTGCTGCTTCCAACTCCCGCCACCCCCCACCCCCACGGCCTGGAAAGGAGACACTGGGCTCAGAGACAGGGGTGTCCCCGGAAAGCCAGGCTCAGCTGAAGTCTGGGGCCTACTGGCCGGCTGCCCCCGCCCCAGTCTTCCTCACATTGCTCACGCTCGGGCACAAGGAAATCAAATCTTGCAAACCCCTGCAGGTAAACAGACACTTCCTCTCCACAGCCCACAGCCCCGAACCACAATGATGTAACCACCATGGCGACGTCACTGAGGTGGAAAATGACTGTGGGCCCTGCGGGGCGGGCCCTGACATCAGAGTCCAGCCCCCCCGCCCCCCACCACCGTCACCAGCCCTGCAGAGCGGCCAGACGCCCAAAGTTCTGGCTCTGAAGGGCTCGGAACTGGGGCGGGGAGGAGGCCTGTGTGCCCCTCACGGCTGACGAAGGGCTTGTTCGAGGAAAATGCTCCTCCCCGTGCGAGGCTTCCTTGAACCCGTGGGCTCCCAGACGGTGGGCCCTAGCAAGCGGGCTTTCCCTCAGTCTGGGGTTTCTGACATTAAAAGGCGCTATTAGGACTAAGGGGCAGGAGGCCTAGTCCAGGAACTCGGATGCGCCGGGACCTGAGTCGAGCAGGTCACGCCAGAGCCCGTGAGGCTGAGGCTGGGAAGCAGAGGTGCAGTGTGCAGGGCTGGGCCCCTCCCTGGGAAGGCTGTCGGCCCCGCACCCGAAGCTGTGGCCTCTGCCCAGCACTCTCAAAGCGGAGTGCTGGGATCAGAGCCGTTAGGTGTCACAGATTGAGATGTTCAGGCCCAGCACGGCTGAGTGGAGTGAGACACACGGCAAGCCAGAGCCGGTGTTAGGTAGGAGCTCCGGCTCCTGGCGGCCAGGCCCGCGCTCCTCGCGGGGGTCCTGCATGCTGCAGTTGGAGGCCGGGAACAGCCAGCACAGCCTCGAAGAACTTCCCCAGGCTCCCTCTCCTGGGTTCCCAATTTGCAGGTGGGAAAGCCAAGGGCACCTGCATCCCCTCGCAGAAGCCTCGGTACTGACAGACAGACCCACACGTGACGTGACATCAGCATGTGGGGTGAGGGTTTCCTGGCCCCGCAGCCTTGGCCACACCCCAGGTCCTGGCAGGCCAGGTGAGAGGCGCTGCTGGGTGCGCTAAGACACTCAGAAGCACAGTGCAGAAAAGGAGGGCGAGTGGAAATTGTTCTGGGGGTGTCGGGCAAGCAGCAGCTCCCACCTCAGTTCCGGGGGCCAGAGCAGCAGCTGCTGACTCCACAGTGGTCACCCCCACAGCCTGAGCATGGCCCTGTGACCCAGTCAGGCCTGCAAAGCCACAGTGCTTACAGAGCCACAGCGGTTGCACAGCTGGTCCCGACAACCGGCCGGCCAGGTGGGGAGCACGCTCACCTCACACACCGGAAGGCAGAGGCCACAGACAAGGGAGGCAGCCAAGGTCACAGCCAGTAGCCGGCAGACAAGGACTGAGGCCCAGGTCTGTCTGCCCCGAGTCAGCGGGGCTCCTCTCGGAAGCCCTTGGAGTCCAGGACACGGAGCCACCCAGTCTCCACTCCGCCCCGCCACCCCACACCCCTACCTGCGGCCAGGCTCCCCACAACCGCCTCCAGCCTGCCTCCCTCCCCACTTACAGGCAGGTCACGTGCACATCCGCTTTGGGGCCTGAGTCACTGCCAGAAGGTGGCCCCATCTCAAACCAGAGCAGGGGATTGGGCGTGAGCATTTTGCAGGGAGCAAGCACCCTTCGCCGGGAGACCCCATAGAGCATGGAGCGGAGTCCAGAGAGGGAGGGACAAATGAACCAGCCCTGCCAGGCTGGCCTTGGAAATCTTCCATCTCACCCCTAAACTAGGCTTGTTCACCAGGCCACTTGAATGCTTGTGCACATTCACTTTCTCCCTTCCAGGCAGCGGTTCTCAGCCAGCGGTCTCCCCCCTCCCCCCATCCCCAGGAAATTCAGCATTATCTGGAGACATTTTTAATTGTCCCAGTGGAAGGGGATGCTGTAGGCATCTGTGGGAAGAGGCAAGGAAGCCAGCGGACACCCTGCGTGTGCAGGACAGCACCCCTGGCGAGGAGCCACATGGCCCAAATGGCAAAAGTGCTAAGCATAAGGATCTTTCTTGGAGGCTGTGAGCTGGCAGCAATGAGCAGGTGCTGACATTCTGGGGAGAAGAGAACATTCCAGGGGGAAGAGACACTCAAAGTGATGGAAACAGAGTGGGTTGAAGGCCAGGGGGGTGAGTGTGGGAGCTCGTCCAGGCAGGGTGGCCCCAGCAAGGACCCCTGGCCAGGGACTGTCAGCAGCAGGCACATTCAAGGCCAAAGGGAAAGCAGGTGCAAAGGTCCTGAGGCAGGTGTGTACGGCACGTTTACAGAGCACAGCAGCAAACAGCGTGGCCTAAAACTGAGAACTAAGGTGATGATGATGAGCCGACTATAACACCCCTACACCACGGCTGGTATCAAAACTCACCTCCACCCCAACTCCCACCTTCCTGGCTTTTCTCCAGGAGGGACATTTTGTGGTCAGGGCCACAAAATGTCTCCCAGGTCTAGGAAGGGAAGGTGATCCGCGAGGCGCTGGTCAGCCCCTTAGCTGACCAAGCCCCCCCCAACCAGAGCTGGCCCCAGCTGGTTGGGTAATGCGTGGCAAACAGCGGCCCCTGAGCCTCACAGTTCCAGGAATCCATAGATGAGACCCAGCAGGGAAGGGTTCCCTCAGTCCCCCCCAATGACAAGTCGCAGCCAGACTCCTGGGCTCTGCCCACGCCCATCAGAGGGCACTGAGTCTGCCCACGTGACTGGCGTTTATTTGGGGGATGAATGACTAACCAGAGGAATGAATGATGCATCCCACACCCGCCAGCAAATGCAGCTGGTAGAACACTGGGTTCGGGGAACTGGGGTGGGGGTGCTGGGAACCTGGGCAAGAGTCTGGAGAGCAGAGCTTGCCTCAGGTCGCACCACATCTCATTCCCCAGAAGCCACACTTGCAAGTGGGAGCCGCACGGCTCACCCTCTGGGGCTGCTGCAAAGGTTCCGGTGAGATTCACCGTGAAGTCCTACAGCTGGAGCCTGAGCCGGCTGCTTCGGAGGCACAGCAGCTGCCGCGCGGCTATGAACACTCGGAGGAGGACCCCGCTCCTCACGCCCCTCCATGTAGCCGGTGCTAACACTCAGCCACACCAAAAAAGCAGAATGTGTCTGTCCTCCAGAGGGAGACGGCTCCGAGGGGCTGCCACCTGCCGAAGGCCCCGAAAGATGGAGGAAGGGCGTGCAACACGGACTGGGGGGAATGCTGGCATGGAGGGTGGAGGCAGGCAGGAGTGCAGGCGGTGGTGGGGAGGGTGGGGAGATGCGAAACCTCCCGATCGATCGCATGGATTCCCGGGAGCACCACAGCTGGGAGAGAGCGCTCCAGCTTGACGAGGGGGGCCACCAAGGAGGATGGCGGGAGAGGCCAGGAGTTAGGGGCCAGGAGGCCAGTGGGGAGGTGGTGGAGACACTCCGCGCAGGGCTGAGGCGCTGCCAGGAGAGAGGCAACAGGGACCGGGGCCCCGTGTCCTGCTGAGGGCCCAGGCTAGCATGCCCCGAGGGGGGTGGCACCCCAGTCCGTGGTATGACCCCACAGCCATGGGCACCCAGCTCCGAAGGCCACCCAGGACCTCCTTTGTTTGAGGACACCCTCTGGGGTTGAGCCAGGACCCACTCGGGAAGCCCCTGTGGGCTCAGTTCTGATCTGCTCACCCCCAGCCCCCGGCTCTCAAGCACCGGACTCTAAAGATGTCCTTAACCTCAGCCAGTGAGTCACTCGTGTAGGAGCCCAGGTCACCTCCCCCAGGTCCAGATGTGCAGACAGGGGTGAGCTCACACCTCCCCCCAAGTCCCAGGGAAAAGGAGAGTCTCCCCTGGGGAGGAAAAGCACCCCCACGCCCTTCCGTGAGAAACAAGGCATTCTCTGGGCCTGGGGTTTCCTCTCTGTAGAATGGGCTACTCTCTACCAGCCATGGAGACCGCCAAACGGGCAAGACAAACAGCCCCTTCACAGGGGCCAACTTGTGGGGGGCTGGCAGAACATTCTCCTGGGTCCCCTGGAACTCCTGAGGTCCAGAGCTGGGCTCCCACCCGTCCATAGTGGCCCCTGGGGGACCTGAGGGCACTGCCCACAGAGAACAAAGCTGCCCAGAGGCCGCCTGGGTGGCTGGGTTCTGGGAGACTTGCTGGGCAGAGCGCAGAGAGGATGCAGCCTGGCAGCCCAAGGGACCTTGCAGGCTCAGACTGCACATCTGGCCTGTTCTGTCAAGCGCGCAGCCCTGTATTTCTAAGAAAGAGGAAAACCATTGCCCAGAGTTAGAGGAAGTCTTCTAAAGAGGTGCCCAGGCGCCCCGCGCAGCGCTCGCTCCGCGGGCTCCCTTCGCTGCTCGGCGGTCGCTCGCTCCCTCGCTCGGATACTCTACTCGCCCTCTCTCGGCGGCGGGAGGAAGGGACCAGAGCAGGGGTGACGGAGTGGCGTCCAGGGTCTAACGGGCATCGCCCCAGGGTCCGCGGGGCGTCCCAAAAGCTCTGGCCTGAGCTGGCAGAGGCACCCGAAGGCCGGGAGGCGCCCAGGGGCTGCAGAAGCCAGAATTCGGCCCCGGGAGCACGTGTGCCAAACCGGGGGTCCCCAGAGGGTCCCGGAGGTGAGCCGGCGAGTCTGACCCCCGGCGAGGGGAGGTAGGGCTCCCACGTTCGCTGTCGCCCCAAGTCCGGAGTCCCGCTCCCGTGTCACCGCGCCCCTAAGGAGCGCGAGCGGGTCCCCGGGGGCTGCGCGCGGGCCTGGGTGGGCGAGAGGCGCGGGTGTCCCTGGGGGGGGGACGCCAGTCACTCACCGGGGCGGGAATGGCGCGCGCCGCGACCCAGAGCTGCAGTCCGACGGCCAGCGCGGCCCAGAGGCCGATGGGCGCCATGGGGTGACAGGGCGCAGGCGGGGGGGCCGTCGCTGGCCTCGCTGGCTGTCGCCGGCGTCTGTCCCTGCGCCTGATCTGTTCGGGGACTGAAAGCGAAAGCCCCGGACCGCGGGGAGGCAGGCAGGGGCGGGGCGCGGCGGGCGCGGCGGGCGGGGCTCAGACACACCTCCTCTCCCCCTGCCAAACCCCTGCCCAGCCCGCGGACCCTCACCACAGGCATCAGTGGGCCCCAGGCTGCCATCCCAGTGCGGCTAAGTGGACACCTCCAGCGCCAGCCCTCGATGACCCCTGAACATCCTTCTAACGCCCACCCCTCCGCTATCTCCACCCTTCTCGGGGCCGGCAGCAGACCCATTTGGGGGCAGGTTGGGGGTTACCTGGAGGCTGTACCTGTCCACCTGTCGTGCTGCATCGCCCGCACCTCCTGCACGTTCCTGCTCTCCTGGGCAAGGGGCAGTAGCTTGGAAAACTTTCCACAAAGCAGGGGCTAGCTGGGGGGTGGGGGGTTTGGGGGCGCAGAGAGTTCTGGATCATGCTCTCCTTTAGCGTCTAGGGCCAGAGCACGTGGGTCTGAACCTCACAGAGGTGACCTGAGGATGGAAGGCCGCCCCCCCCCCCATCAGGCAGTGTGCAGCACTGTGTTGACAGTCAGCATATTTGTAACAAAGGCTCTGAGTAAGTATTTTCTGACTTTCTTCACAGACTCCCCAGCCGCAGGCCGGCCTTGGTGAGCCCCAAGTCCAGGTGACTGTCAAGCTGGAACAGAAAGGCCAGCAGAGAGTTGTGGGGTCCCCTGGAGTTCACATGGACTGAGCACCCACTCTAGCTGCCACCTGCTCCCCCTTTATTTTGAGCAACAGCCCGAACTCTCCCAGCCTGGAGTCTATGCCCACAGCACAGGGGCACCGGGTGGGTGAGCAGATGGCAGGAGGCTTTTCTGCCCCCTTGTCCTGTCACTACAGACCACCCCCAGAGGCAAGGAGCCACTTCTCGGGGCCACCTCCCCCCGGGTCCCTCTTGATGGGGACAGCAAGGATGATGCTTTTAGGTGCTGAATGAGAAAATGGGAAGTAACTCTTGGGGAGTGGGAAATCCCGCCTGATCAGACTTGGGAAATCACCTGGTCCCCACACGCTTCTGAGACGTAGGACATGCAGAGAGGTGGTATGTGGATGGCTTGGGGGACCCCCTGGTCCATGAAAGAGTCAAAGGCCAGGAGTGAGATGTTACCCGGTGGAGGCAGAAATACATGGTTCAGCCTGGATGCCCTCCCCCGTGGGTCCTCCGACTCGCCCCCTTCCCCGCCATGGACTCCCCTTCCCAGAGATCTTCCTGGGTCCAGCTCTACCCCTCCCCCAAAGCGAGGCCCGCAGCAGCCAAATCAACAGGAAAGCAAACCCTGTCTACAAGGGTACAAAGCACAGGGGGCTTGGTTAGAAAGATTTTAGAGGGATTAAAAGACGGATTAGGGAAGATAACCCTGACATTATCAACTCAGAGCCCAGCACCTCATGGGGTGACCCGGGCTCTCGGGTGTCTGGAGCCCCAATGCTGGAGACACTACAGAAACAGAGAGGAGGGAAGTGCCTGGCTTCCCCCCTCCTCCTGCCCTGGTCCGGTGTCCCCGCCAGTCTCAAACTGACAGGACCCAACACAGGAGCCCATTCCAGTTTGTGGGGGAGCAGAGCAAGGGAGGGAGCTGTGAAAGGCAGGCCTGAGGAGACAGACCACCTGTTTTAAACTTGTTTGCACCCAGTTTTAATCTGTCCTTCCCCAACCTCCTCATAAAGTCTCGGGCAGGTCCTGTCTCTCCTCCAAGCACTCGTAAGCAAGAAATAACCCTCTGAGGTGAAGCATCCAGCCCTGCCACAGGGCCCCGGTGTCCTCCTGGAACTCCAAGTTCCCCCAGAGCTCCAGGGTCCCCCCAGAGCTCCACTGCCCCCCCCCCCCACAGCGCCAGGTCCCTCTCTCAATTGTGCCAGCAGTGATAGAAGCCGGCTCAGGGCCAGATGCCTTACTGGCTTTGTCCTGGGGGCCGGGGCAGCTTTCTAGCACAGCAGGCCCCACAGCCAGGGGCCTCTGCTTCCCCCGCCACTGCAGGATGGGGTGCCCTTCAAGGGCAGGGGACCCCGTCCTGCTCCCCTCTGTGCCCCGGGACCAGGGGAGACAGAGAGTATGCAATGAAATTGGAGTGAGCATGCACACCAGACTAGTGCACTCAGGATACGGTAACAGGGACGTGAGTAGTGGGTGGGTGAGTGGACATCAAGCTCGCCGAATCCATTCCATGCCGTCACACCCAGTCTACCCACTCAACCTGTCTCCCCAGCTGTGCTTGTCTTAGACCCCCAGAATCATGGTGCCAAGCAGAAAGAAAAAGAATACCCCATTTGCTCCCGGGTGGTGAGTCACCAGCAGGCTTCCAGCAGGCAGGACGGCGGCCCCAGCCTGGCAGATGCATGTCCAGCGTCTGCATCCTTGACCTGGGGCTCCCAGGGCAGCCACAGCCTTCAGGGAGCCCCACTAGCTCAGCACCCCAGCAAGCTGAACACTCTGCTCTGCAAGCAGGAGGCGAGGCAGACGCAGCAGGCACCGCATGCGAGGGCAGCCAGGGGCCCACAGCTGTTACTGAGCACTGCTATGTGCTGCGTGCCAGTGGGCTGTTTGGGGGATGGTGCTCCAGCTCCCAGCCACCCAGAACCATCTGGAAGGACTGTTGAACGCGCAGATTTCTGGCCCGCCCCCGCCCCCACCCCAGGTCTGCTGAGGGCCCAGTGATCCTGCTTTTGAGTGAGCCCCCAAGAGACTGACAGGCACCTTTGGGGGACACTGAGCCCAGACTTCACTGCAGCAGGTGCTGTGGCTGCAGGTGGGTCCCGAGGTGTTGCTGCGGCTATGGGGGTGTGGGGTGCTCAGAACCGTCAGCTCCTCTGGCCTGGTCTGGGAGCCACACAGAAGCTGTCGGGGCAACAGGACCAGCTTGGCCTGCAGTCAGGGAGAGCCTCCTTCTCTCTGGCCCCAGAGTCCTGCTTACCTCAGCGCCCCAAGTGCTGGGGCCAGCCCCTGATGACTCATGCCCCACAGTCCTGAACAGGAAGTAGCATGTGGTGTTATTCACGCGCAGCAACTGCCTCCTCCGTCTGGTCTCGTGTGCCACCCTCGTCCTCAGAGCGACATCGAGGACCAAGCTGGCCACTCAGGGCAGGGGCTGGGGGCACTGGGCGGAGAAGCACGGCTGGCTCCCCACCCCCATTTCACTCCTCCTGCGTACACCAGTCCTGTGTGTCCTCCTCACTCACTCCCATTTTGTGGTGCCCTCTCTGGGTCCCCCCCGCTCCCCAGGATATAGAGAGAAGCAGGACCCCGTCTCCGCCCTTGAAGGCCACACCGTCCTGCAGTGGCTGGTGCCAGGGGCGGCTCCTCCTCCCCCAGGCAAATTGGAGAGGGGAGTCAAGGAAGGAAGCCCCCTGGCTTCCTCCCACCCCACCCCTGCCCCCGGCACCCAAATCCTCCTGTCTGGGTTACCTTTTCCCAGGAAGCAACCTTTTGGGGAAGACCCTCAGTCCAGCCTGCGGGGCCAGTGACAACTCTGGGACCCGCCTCCCGGGTCCTCTGCAGTAAGCTGAGCGCCTGGGCTGGGCCAGGACAGCAGGCGGGCTTCGGGGTGAGGATGCTGAACTTGCACATGAGCTCTGCAGAAGGTGCTAGCCAAGTTGCCCCCGTGCCCTGGGGGAGGGGCACCCCTTGGGTGAGGACTCGCCTGTCCCAGTCGTTGGGGATTCTGTGATTTCATGAGAGGGGCAGAGACAGGGCTGGGGGTGAGCTGGCCGATTCCGCCCCGGGGGTCCTGCATGACTGACTGGCCGCCCTTGCTCTGCTGCTGTGTGGCTTCCCGTCCCGCCTACTGCAAACCGCTTGTTGTAGTTCACGCCCATCTGACTTGTCACCCTCTATCATCTATGTTTTGATGTTTTTTTTTTTTTTTAAAGATTTATTTATTTGTGCATACAGAACTGGGGTACAGGCCAGAGGCTCAGGGGCGGTGAGAGGCTTCACCAGAGACAGAGTGGGGAACAGAACAGGCAGATCGACGAAGTACACTGCTGAGGGGAGCAGCGGGCGGGCCAGGAGAGGTCTGCCACACCATGTGGTCACCTCCAGGGCAGGCGGGAATTGAACTCATGCAGAAGCGGCTTTAGATTCTCAGTGCTGTGCTTTAACCCGCTGCACCACCAGGGAGGGCCTGTTTTGATGTTTTTTAAGAAGTGAAAAAGATCCAGGCATCATATAGGAAACACCCATCGTCCTGTATCTGGAACTGACCTGTTAGCCCCCGGGGCTGCTGTGCCTGTTTATCTGTTTAAGAAAACTTGTCTCGTTCCCTCTCTGCTGGGTCTCAGGAAGCAACACAAACAGCAACATTAGCTAGAAAGAAAATATTCTTAAATGCTAGGCTCAGCAAATATTGGTGGAATCAATTTTTGCTTCAAATTCTTCTTCTTTTTTTTTCATGAAAAATTGCAGTCTTTTCTGGGCCTCCCTGGTGGCGCAAGGGGCTAAGTCTCAGCACTGTGGAGCTGCCGCAGCCGCTGCAGCACAAGTTCGACCCCAGCCAAGGGGTGACCCACAGGGCGCAGCAGACCCCTCCTGTCTCCCCACAGCTCCCCTCAGCAGAGCGTTTCAGTGGATCTGCCTGTTCTGCTCCCCACTGTGTCTCTGGGGAATCCTCCCACATCCCCACGCCTCTGGCCTGCACCCCAGCTCTTGCATGCATAAAGAAATAACAAAATCAAAGTTCTCCCAAAAGGAGCTGCTCCAGAGTCTCAAGTCCCCTTTTCATGTTGAAATGGGCACCTTGGCCCCGGGCTCCCTGAGTGACCCCTGCATTTATACAAACCACAGGGCCCCTGCCCCACCTCCCTCCTGATGACTTCAGCCCTGGCTCCACCCTTCCACCTGCTGCCCAGGCCTGCCCCACCATGCCCACCTGCCCTCCCGCTTTGCCCTCTGGCTCTGCCACCGGCACAGGAGGTTCCTCTAGGCCATAACCCTAGAAAGTAGAACTGCCA